AAGTAGAACACACGATAAGGGTTCTGACATTGAAGAACTTCGGTGGCATATTTACTGTTGGAGTTCACTTCTGCCTTTTCTCATTACTCCTTAGTCTTCACAGCTCATGGTTTGCTCTTTGTCTTATTCATGTTATTCTTGTGAGCTATTAACAAGCATAATCTGAAGCATTCTTAAGTTTTTAAAGTGTGCATATTCCTTTCCTGTCCAATATTATTTCTAGCAATAATTTCAAATAACTTCTAAAGGGAGCATCGCATTTGGTCCTTCATCATGTCAGATTAATAGGTTTGGACGTTAAGTAGATGACTGGAATTTCAACATAAGCTATTTATCTTCACGTCAATAAATAGATGGACTAAAAACATGTATATAAAATTTTGAGACTAGTTTGGCCTTCTACTTTCTTCATATTCCTTTTAATTAACATAAATGTGATGTTGAATAACCATGTAGCACTAGTATTTTATTAAACATAATTGTTATTGAGTTTTATTTTGTTGCCTCTTTGAAAGTTTGAGTGGTCTATTTTCCTTCTCTGATTTCAGAAATGTTCATTTTTGTTTATAGGTAATTGCAAACAAGATAAAGCGTTGCAAGACCGACTCACATCCTGGGTTTGGAACATAAAACCTTCTGAAATTTATTTGGTTGTAGTTGTCCCTTGAATGCATTTCCTTGTGTGATCAACACCAGCAACTGGACTTTGGCTTGTTTCAGTTTTTAATTCTTGTTAGAAGCCTGAATTTGTTTCTGTTTTTTTTCCTATGTTCCTGATTGATGTCCCTGTAGATGAATTTGCATAGGCCATTCTATGGCAGACTAGGGATCTACCGTTTACAACAAGCCTTTTTTGTTGTATGGTAGTGGGCAAGGTCAAGGTCCTTGGTGCATACCGTTACTGATGATTTTTTGTGCCTATTAAAGAGTTTAGAATTCCTGTTAGTTGTAAAGTATCTTCCATACTTGTTTAGAAAGAGATAACAGATCTAAGTGCTTCATATGGGTAATTAAACATAAACCTTCAATCGCGATTTGACAAACCAGGTGGAGCAGTACATATCACCTGGTGCATACTGGTCCGCCTGTGGACCAACATAGGATTTTGGATGGTCCACTTGCGCACAAGGTTTACTATTTAGTAAGCTTGGTGAATCATGCGTACTGTCTGGTCCAGACCTGGTAATGAGCTTGGACCAGGTGGTATGTCTTTTTACCTAATAAAAAACCTAAAAATAATCCTCTCTCTCATGTACTCATGCATGTATCCTTTGTAGCCTTACCGCCTTCTAACCCATGTCTGTCATCAGCCACTGTCACCGCAGCCCCCACTTCTACCGAATCAGTACTTCTCTTCCACCTCTGCCACCTCCTCCTCTTCTTCTCCACCAAAAAAAAAAAAAAAATCCTTCTATGTACCATGATATCCATTGTACTTGGTATCAATTTTCTGAAACAAACAGAACCTATCTTTTTAACAATCTTAAATATCTAATCTGCTTTGTCCATAGATTAAGATTGAATTATATATATCGAGTCAACAATAAACATTCTATAAAGTTTCTCCAACCAAAGTTGTCTTGCCAGATGCTAATCTCTGATTCTGTTTGCAGACACATTCCTTGGTTTAGGACTGACTACCAATCCCAGACAAAATGCTAAAAATTCCTTCAAAATAGTAAGATACTCGGGGCTTCTTATTGACCAGAAGAAATTATTGGATTGGTAGGTAGAGGATGGGCCTCTTAATGCAGAAGTCTGTTTTCTCAGAACCTTTTTTAGTACGGCTTCTGGCAGAGGCTGTTTTGGCAACAAACTAGGATCATCATACATTCGAGGTCTATTCCAGTCATTCAGTTGAAGTTTGTTGTTCATTGACAACTAGATCCTTGATAATTGCCTACATTCTTCAGTTGCTGAATCTTTCACAATTATGTCTTCCATCTTACAATAGATGAAGCTGTCTAATGAATGCTCAAAGTCCAATACTTACACTGCTTTAATACTTTTGATACTGGGAATATGTTACATTTATATATTTGCCTCATGATGGATGATCATGTTTGTATAATGACTTAATGCTATGCTCGATATAGATCCTTCTACTTATCCCAATTAATAATCTGAGACAAATTTAATTGGTCTTACCAACTTCCAGATTGGAATTTGATAATCCAGAAAGACCTGAATGCAATAATCTTCTATCCATCTATCAGATTATTACTGGGAGGACGAAAGAGGTAAATTGTCATATATGTATATGGTAGAGCTACCTGAATCTTATATTTAATGTGCATATTCTGTTCTCTTATTGCCATATGTATGGAAGTTTAGTGTTTGTGAGAAATTTTCATGAAACGTATTGGCAATTTTTCCATATTTACAGGAAGTTGAACATGAATGCCGAGATATGAACTGGGGAACATTCAAAGCAACCCTCGCAGATGCTCTAATTGATCATCTACTCCCAATTCAGGTTACATTTGGATATCATTACACAATTGTTTGGTACGACATTGCATACATATCCAGTTATATACGATATTGTGCTGTCACAATACTTATAAAAGGTTCTCGTGCGTGAAAATGATTTCTGATAGTGAATAAGTCCTGATGCACAAATGCTTTCTTTCACGTGAATGATTCATTTTTGCATTGAGTAGAAAATATGAGCTCGAACGCAACTACTGATTGTGGTTCTCTTCCCAGGCTCGGTACTCGGAGATCACCTCTGATCCAGCATATCTGGATCAGATTTTGTCAGAGGGGGCTAGAAAAGCCGCCGATATAGCAGAAACCACTCTCAATAATGTCTATCAAGCTATGGGGTTCCTGCAGAGATAGTTTTGTTCCAAGATAACTTCAGTAGCTTCGGATGCATTTGAAGGGGAACCGTCAAGTTAAATTGTGACTGTGCTTTGAATTCTCCAGGCAATTCACTGCATAAGTGCTGAGTTATCCTCTCATTCTTCGAACAAAGAGCAGCATTCATGATTAGTCCACAGCAGATGACAAAATTCTTGTGTACTGATAATCATAGTTTTGTGTTTGACTTGATGCAGCAGTAATTTATAAGTAAAATTATCAAAATTTAAGGGTCATTCCATAAATTATTTGGTAGAAAGGCACTTGTGATTTTTAACCTAGAAAAGCTGTATCCTCGGAATTAGCTGGAAATATGTATTGGTACTTGCAATTCTGTAATTGAACCCTTTGCCTCAGTTTATTAATTGTAAACTGGATATTTTGTTTTACAATTTGCGGACATTGCAATGGTGCTTTCATTTTGGATATCCCAACTTTTATCAGTATGTGCAGTAAATATTGACGAGAATTTTATCCCGATCGAAAATCTCTTCCTGTGCGCCAGCATGGTGGGTAGAAGATTTTTTTTTCCTTTATTTTTTTCAGCTTTGAGCAGTGGAAAAATAAATAAAAACGGATGAAAACAAGAAACTTAGATGCAACAAAAGTTGATGTTCAAAAATCATATCCAATAAATTTTTGCACATATATTGCATGTAAAAAAAGTTGGGGGTGGGTTCAAAGTCTTATTCGGTAATTGAAAAATAATAAGAATTTTTATTATTTATTTGAGTTAATCTAAAACATAAGGAGAGGAAAATTTTGGAGTTATTCCAACCCTCAAATCCTAACATGGCCAACAAGTTCGATACCTATCATTTGACAAAGATGGATCAACAAGATGTCTTCTCTTGTACTTCCTCATCCACTTTTAGAGATGCTGCCCTCGATGATCTAGCTAGAAAAAGCAAGGCAGGAAGACAGGAATAGTTTGTGGCGAAAACGAAGGTGACCAACTTTTATGAAGACGTGAGATGCCATGTGCAAATACACTTATGTTCGGATAACGTCTAAAAGGATTAGGATTATGTGTGAACCTATAGAGTAGCCTGTTGCCCTTGTTTTAATTGACTACTAATGGGTGGGTGGGTTTCATATTTCAATAGGTAAATATTTAACTTTCATTTCATTTTCATGAGAATTTCTTAAATTCACATTGAAATAATATATATATCATTTTTATTTTAAATAATATATTTTTCTAGTTACAAAAATATTTTTTGTAATTCTAAATACAATTGAAGTAATATTATAATTGTAGAATTATTCTTAGTTAAAAGTTTACTAGTTGGCGATCATTGTTTTTATTGTAACACTTAATGTTGTCGCTGTAATAGTAGCATTCTTCACGCAATTATCTTATTGTTATTGTCATCATCATGGATATCCATGGATAGTTATTTCATTGAATATCTTCTTCGTGTCACTATCATTATCATTATTTGGTGGGCGACGGTAGTTTTCATCATCGATGTCATCACTATCGATATTGTTATTACGCCCACTATCAAACATGTTATTGTACTTATTTCACAAAAGAAATAATAACTTAAAAATAGAGATAAAAATAAATATGAAGGTTACAACACTATTTTCCTTGGGAGTAAACACAGCCCAAAATTTGTTGCTTTGATGACACCACCATTATTATCATTGCTATCTATGGTAAGATCCTAGTATTATTTGTCATCGTTATCATCATCTCTATCATCATCGTCGTTACCATCTCTACTATTATTTCATCAAAAATAATAACTTGAAATTAGAGATAAATAAACAAATATGAAAAATATAAAAGTGGTTTCCGAGAACTAACCATTCATGTGCCAATTTGCTGATGCTGCTGCTGCTGCTGCTGCTGCTGATGATGATGATGATGATGATGATATCGATGCTTCTGGTCCTGAGGACGAGACGGATGAAGGTTACACGCCCCTCGTGACAAGTTACAATTTATGGCGCACACAGGCATTTTGTCAAACAGTTGGGGGACCAGAGCAGATCGACCACCACACGGAGAGTGAGCCTTGACCATAGACTTTGCGAGGCACTCCCGTGGCCTAAGCACGCGAGGGTGGACCGCCTCGGGCGCCCACCGCCCCCTACAGCCCGCCCGCCCTCCCTCCCTCCCGATGCATTGAATCGAGTGCTTTTCCGGAGCTCCTCTTCAGTTCCCTCCATCGAGCCACCAGCTTTTTCCACAGGAACTGTGATCATGATGCCTGCCACAGCCATCTCCTCCTCCTCCTCTTGTGAGGTCCCCAACTACTGCTGTCACATTTCCCTTGTGTTGTGCTGCGTGACATTAGGCTTAGCTCATAGCCTACATTAGTATCACTCACTCTGCAGGCTTCATTCATTTTCAGAAAATATTTTCATGTATTTGGTAATGTCACAGTACTACCAACACAGAGAGAGAGAGAGAGAGAGAGAAAGAGAGAGATTCGGTGATGATTGTGTGCATCTTTCCAGCTTCCATGGACTGTTGATCCGCCTACAAAACCTCATGATCACAAAATTCAGAATTATGATCTGTTTTCTCTTTGCTACTGTTTTCTTACATTATTTGAGAGCATGGATGGATATGATTTCGTGTAGGATCAGATAAAAGTTGTATTAATGCCAATAGTTTAGATCCATGAAATAAATAAATGTTTTTGTCATTGGATCAGAACATGATTAATTGGTAATCAGAACTAATTCAATATTAAACAGGAAAAGTTATGAACAAAGCTAGAAGCACATTAAAAGTATGTATAATAAAGTCACCACCAAATTGAATCTCATCTCATGTATGATTGATTAAGTATAATTTTGGATTATGAGTTAAAAACCTAAGCTTCTAAGTGGGAAAGACTGTTGAATGACTAGATAATAATGTTGGTAATAATTTTTTTATAATGAAAAGAAAATTACGAAAATTAAAAAATTAAAAAAAAGAGAGGATACTTTCATTATGGAGATGGAAAAGGATTGACATGAACAAATGGATGGATGGAATTCTAGGAAGAACCTGATCGATTAATCCATAAAAGATGTTAGAGAAGAGCACCCAACAAAAATTCTTGAAAGAAATAATCACAATACCAAGTTTAAGTTGGCCAAAAAGAGAGGAAGAAGAAGAGTTAAAAGGAGGACCACTGATCCAATCATTACCCCCTCCCACTTTGTTAGGCGTAAGCAACCAGCCGAATTCTGATTGACCTGGAAATCCAAAATGATCAAAAGAAATTAATCCCTGAAACAATAAACAAAAAAATAATAATAATTTCAACAGCTGAGGACCACTGGATCCATCGACTGAAATCAGGAGCACCTCCCTCCCACCACCGTGCTAGGCGAAAGCAACCAGCTAAAACTCTACGAGTTAAGGGATAAAAGCCCACTCACCAGTGTATTAAGAATTCCGAGTATCCGATACTGTGTATGGCTCATGGCTGCTACAGTTGTATAGCTTTTGTTCTTTTCTGCAATTTTTCTTAGGGAGGGAACAATACGAATATGATTGTAGAGAGAGAGTGTCACGTCCCTGTTCCACCTGCTTGGGTTAGCGTGCAGGAGTAGAGATGGGATGGGAATGCCTCGATCCCACTGTCCCTTTTTTGGGCTCCTTTCCCAGCCATGGAATCCCTGCCGCTGTTCCCTTTTTAAGCACCACTTCTCCTACAAGACAGAGAAAAAGGAAGGATGAGAAGAGGAGTGTAGGTGAAAAAAGAAGCCTTTTTCATTATTTACTGAGTGGTTTTTGGCCTAATTCTCCCTCCAAGATTTGGTTTTGAGGATTTGGCTTCCTCAGTGGCTGGAGCGAGCAGAGCTTTCCTTCCTCCGCCTTCCTCTGATCCTACTTCTCGTCCCGGAACTCGAGTGCAGGTGGGTTAGCCGTGTGTCGTTTCCTTCCCCTCTTCTTGATCAACCATGCTGATACGGCTGATCTTCTTCTTCTTCTTCTAGTCTTTCATTTTGGCTAGCATGGTCGTAGGTGATAATGTTTCCGAAGAGGCGACTGCTTTTGTCCATAAAAAAAAAATTTCATCTTTGACGCTTTCTCCCAACTTGAGCGTTGAAACAGGAAGCTGCTGGTCGTTCATCCTCGACTTTTGAACTTGCCATGGAAGAAGATCTCGAGAACAGAGGAGGTGCATGTCCTCAGCTGCTCGATCTGATTCCAAATGAGAGCGACTGGATGATGGCGCCAGAGGCATCAGGAGGAGGAAGAGGAGTCGGCGGCTTAGATGACTCGGAAGACAAAAAGTTGGAGCTGAAGCTTGGGCTCCCTGGAGTAGGAGGAGGAGAAGAAGAGGCTGCTGCTGTTCTCTGTCTTGATTTCTTCTCCAAGGCTTCAAAGACCACCACCACCACCACCTGTACTGGAGCCAGAAGACGGCTCTTCGAATCTGCAGAGTCCAAATCAGAAGGTACTATATTTTTTCAAGCGCCAAAGGTCATGCTTGTCTTCCTGGGATTTATCTACTCCTACACCATATTCTTCCCTTTTCAGGTCCTCAGCAAGAGCAGCAGGCTGGGTTCCTCCAGTTGCAGAGCAGAGCAGAGTCTGGGAATGAATGGCCACACAAGGCAGTTTGGGCTGGTGGGAAGGCTGATCTGCAGCAAAGCCATGCTGCTCCCGGAGGTGCAGCTGGACCCAACACCAGCTCCCAGACAAGGTAACCATGATTGGCATGTGCCATGATCTCATTCGGGCTTGCATTTGTTTGTGTGTCATCAATGTATCTGCTACTTTTTCTGCACATTATTTGATGTCTCTTGTCTCGATATCATGCTCACTGTGACTTTAAATGCCCAGCCCAGCTGGATGGCCTGTCTTTATTGTCTGATAGAACTGGGGTTAATAATTTTACTAAACAGTGTTCCCAGTTGCAAAATTAAGTATTTCATGCAGCATATCTATCTTTTTTCCCTTATATTTTGGGTTCTAATTTTTCCATGGCTGCTAGGTATAGTTTTACACTTCCTAATTAATACAAGTTTGCTGCTGCCTGCTGCTGCCTGCTGCTGCTTAAGTACTTCACACCACCGACTTACAGTTCAAAAGAGATTTAGTTTTCTCTACTTCTTTTTGTGCTGTTACAATTTACTCTTTCATTCACAAAATTTTAAGGTTCTTGCTATGTTTATTTTGTCCAACCTCTCTAAAAATACTGATTTCAGTATCATCTTCACCAGCATAAATCTGAAGTTAGATCTATAAGATGATAGCATTTATCAAAATCTTCATAAATAAAGTATGGCTATTTAAATAAAAGGATGCAAGTCTAACAAAGATCAAGACATGCAGTAACTTTACCTTTACAAGCCAAAACATTATTTATACTGACTCCAAATATAAGCATCGTAGGTTGTGGAAGAGCAGTCTTACTGTTGATCTCCTTGCTAAAGAAATGGAAACCGACTGGTCTTGGACATCGTGATTCAATTGCATTTTCCTCTATCTTACCTTTCTGTTATTTGTTTTAACACTTCTTACTTGATATTTCCTACTCCTCAACAAAAATGCAGAGCTGCACCTGCTCCTGTTGTTGGTTGGCCTCCTATCCGCTCCTTCAGAAAGAACCTGTCAAGTAGTTCGGTCAAGCCATCAGTTGGGTTGGAGAATGACAATGCAGAGATGAAGCAGAAGTTCGATAACAACAAGAAAGGCTTGCTCGTAAAGATCAACATGGATGGTATCCCCATCGGAAGAAAAGTAGACCTGAAGGCCTATGACAATTATGAGAAGCTCTCTTTAGCTGTCAAAGAGCTCTTCCTTGGCCTTCTTGCTGGTATATATCTGACAGAATGGTTAAACAGTAGATAGATTATAATTATATGCATAAGGGTGGCTAGATATCACTGCAACTTTAGCTTTCATGTATGTGATTTCTCTTTTATTGTTCGTGCTGCACTTTTCTTCCATTAGATTCTGACTCATCTGGAGATAAATAAGTTGCTTTCTAAACCAGTAAGGCCACCCATATGTAAAAAACCCTAGAGTAATTCTTGACTTCCTAGTCTTTCTTCTTTCAATTAATGTGCAGCTCAAAGGGACACCCCTGAAAATGAGAATGAAGCAGCCAAACAAGCATTCGTAGGCTTGTTAGATGGTTCCGGTGAATACACTTTGGTTTATGAAGACAATGAAGGTGACAAAATGTTCGTCGGGGATGTTCCATGGGAGTAAGCCTCTAATTTCCTTGTTCTTAATTTAATTACCTGATGCTGTGATATTAGTCTCACAAATGTGTGAAAAAGGAACTTGTAGATGACTGCATATTAGCATCTTTATATATATATGATCAACCAACAGACATCAAATTATACCTTTGACCAATTTACATGTGTGTTAATAAACTTACACATGGATCCCATTAAAATTTGTTAACATAGTAACTTGCAAGATTCAATATAAGAAATTAGTTGGAGTATGTCAACTTTTTCACTAAAAGCACATTGAACTTGTACTCGAAGGTTTGGAATATGCAGCTGAGAACTGTCTGTCGGTCTTTATTATGCCAATTGCTCGCTTGGTGTAGACAAGTATCATGTCTTTTCCTCATCTGGAAAAGGGGTGGTTGAGTTGGTTCATCGTTTGGCAGCCAACAAAAACAGTTGATCATGCTTTTGATGACATGACTGCCTATAGCTATGTGTCAGTCAGGTTCTAAACTAAAATAAAAAATATCCAAAGTTCACTATCATTGAGTGGAATCTAGTCTACTAATTGAGAAGCATTGTACTAAAATCCAAGAAACCCTAGATCAAGAATGAATAGTTGCTTGCTGTCTTGCAAAGATGACAGTGTTAACAGATTAGGAGATTTTTTTTGCCATGGCAGATGACTAACTAGTATGAGCTGATGATCCAGTCAAATGAACTACCACCTACTCACTTCTGGATGTGTCTATGTGCCTATTTTTATTTCCCTTCACAGCCTATCAAGTAACCCCCAGCTTAAAGTTCAACTAGTGTAAATAAGGTAAGGGGAAACATAATTTTGCAGGGTATTGCAAATTAGATGCCAGCTTACCTGGACCTCGAACCACACAACTAGGCACTAAAATAAAAAACATGACTTTGTTGACACTTTAAAAGTCGATATAGATATATAAGGATAGTTGAATTTATTACTATCTTTGAACTAGGAAAAAGAAAAAGATAAGAACCTCATGCTTGTATTGTTTTGCAGGCAATGGAGCCCAAATATGTTCTTTACTTACCGCTAAGAGAACATCTTATATGCACAATGAATTTATTGCTAACGATATAGTTTCTTCTTTACTTACTGCTAAGAGAACATCTTATATGCATAATGCAAACTTCACTTGATTAAAGAGTATCACATCAACTAAATCCTATAGGCAGAAGTTTTGACCACTTTCTAAAACTTGCAGCATGTTTGTTTCAACGGTTAAAAGGTTGAGGGTGCTGAAAAGTTCTGATCTCGCTGCATTACGTGTAAGTCCACTTCATTGAATCACAACATTTGTATATCAGACCATTGATGCTAGTTGTGAAAGACCATCGATGCTATAATTAAAGAATGCAACATAAAACCATGTTGCTTAGAGGTTTATCTGCATACAATGATAAGTTTATCAAGTTAATTGTAATTGGATTCAACATAACTTGGAAAAGGGCTAATTCTAATCTTATGGTTGCATTACCTTTATTATGTTTCCTTGTTTCAGTTAGGAGCAGTCAGCAGGAAAAGAACAGCAACTGAAAGTTGAGTAGAATGAGAAACACAAAGTTTGGGTTATGCATCCATCTTTCCTCATCTTTGGATGTTATTGGCTAATGCAACTGGACTAATTCCTAACTATTTTGGGGGTTGTTGAACTCATATTCCTGATAAACCATGTATCGGTGCAATCGAATGTTAATCCAGTGTACATACTCCCATAATCACTCATTTATCTGAGTTTGAATTGCATGATAACACCAAGGATTTTTGGAAGTCTAAAAGAAATAGATTACTTGCCTGAATTTAGCTCCCTGAAGGTTCATCGAACACTTGTTTCCTAATAAGGGCCATCCTACAGCAGTTGCAGATTGCCTGCTGAAGCTTCCACAAGGATATCTACAGCAACTTGATGAAGAAATGACTGAGAAAGCTGAACCAGTCGCCCTCCACTTGTATGATGTGCTTTTTTGTTATCTGGTTGGATGTCACAAGTGGTTTGGACCTCCACTTGTGCTGTTTGTTCCAGCCCTGCTGATCCATGTCTACTTACTGGTCCAGGTAGCAAACCCGGACCATGCTAGAAGTAAATTTGTCCCAAATCTAGTTAAGTCACTCTCAAAATAGCGTATGCTTAAGAAGCACCTCTCACAAGTAGCTTGTCCATACTATGACAAGCTATCTACTGCAACACTGGATTTAAAGTCAAGTCCAACCATTTACAACATCAGTCAATCTCTTGCAGCAGTTAAACCTTCAGCCAGTCAATTTTCTCACTCTCATTTGTCCCTTGCATTCTCCATCCAATCATCCATTTGCTAACCAGCTATCCATAGTGCATGAAGCAAGAAGAGTCCAACGAGACCAAAACCCTTTGTCCATTGCATAGGTGAGAGAAGAATCTTGTTGGTGGGAAAGCACGCTTGGTGTTCCCTCCATTTTATGCTGGAGACAAGAAAAGGTCTCTTTCATCAGGCCACGCCTGCTCTCCAGACAGGCAAAAGGATGAGAGTTTGGTTGGTGCACGAAAGGAACATGGCAGTTTTCTCATGCAGTTGCTGTAAGAATCTCCCTCGAGGGTTACAGCGATATCGCTCGTCGCGATTATGGGGATAAAGCAGGTAAGAAGATAAGCAGATATATGAAGCGGACAAAGAAGCACCTGTTCTTAACCCCCCCATGAGATATCTACACAAGGCTGTTGGATCCTTGCGGCTGTCAACTACTGCAGCCTTAGTTCAGAGTCTACGGAAAGCTAACCTAACTTGCATTCAATCAAACACCTTGCGATATCAAGACCAATGGTGTTTATTCAAGCAAACACTTCCTGCACCATCATTGGAGATCCCTCACTGCTTATTCTATCGATCAATGTAGGTCTAAGTCAACGAAGTGGACCTAAGCATGCAACTTTGAGTTGGCAAATCCTTCCACAGGGCAAAAACTGAAGGTTAACTCTGACCACAAAGAGTGAGCTGCTCAGAATCATTCATGTGATAAATGGAATATACTGATAGAGTGGTTAGCAAAGAGACCATGTAAAGAAGCTACAATAAGAACACTTCTTCAAGCAAAATAAAGATTTCTACAAGAAGGCATGTGCATGTGCTTAGAATAGAAAGTAACATTTATCATTATAAGAGGGGTGATTGCTGACCTTTGATAAGAGCACACAGATGCGTCCCATCTGACCGACATATTGCAGCATGGTCATCAATATCCTGTGGTAATTCCACATCGATCAGACACATCAAAATGGTCAAGGCCAATAGCCCTAGTCAAAGCCATTCATTGGTGACAACAGTCGTGAATTAACATAAAAAGTCAATCTTTTGATCCTTCAACTAATTCCAGTATAAGAAAGGGAAATTTAACTCTAGAAGTTTTTTTTCTCCATCTTAGTCAAGCACTAACTAAAGTGTGGAAGGATCAGCTGGTAGCATTCCCAGGCCAAGCCGGATACTGGTTTTCATGACAGATAAACATATTGAAAACCTCAACAAGTGATACACTGAGCCAGAAAAAGAAGAACTAGGTCGGCTCCTTGATCCAACTTTGACAAAATGACCAAAATTAACTTCCTCAATCTTGAAAGTGGAGGGAAAAAATGACATGAACTAGTTGGAAAACACTACCGATTAAGTTAACTGTCAACTATGGTCACCACAACAGCTTTATTGCCAAAACCAATAAAAAGAACTGCCCTTTTTCCTATAGCTGGTTGGTGAAACCGAGAAATGAAGTCTATGTTAACCAATGGGAAAACTTTTGGTAGTAAGATTATATCCAGATACTAAAAGCTAGTTATTCTAAATGAAATTATATGTGAATTTAAGGTGAACAGTTCATTTCACATTGTAGTCAAAATGCAGAATGGGGCGAGAAAAAGGAAGAACAAAATGGCCTAGAAAATAGTACAAAATGTCCTACAAACATTTAGCATGTAAGAACTACAGATAGAAGTAGAACAACAGAAGCCAAAAAGATTCACCCATGCAGGCATGACGAACATGAAGAACACATTTTATTTGTCGGTCTTTCACATCAGATCTATGTTATGATTTCTTTGCCACATATGAGATTGGAGTAGACATACCACTTGTTGAGAATTGCAATTCTCCAAGTACTTCGAACCAAATGTGATCATCTAAAACTGCAGAAAATATATAACAATGAGGGAACGCAAAGAGAAAGGAAATTTTATGGGTTATTTCCATGGTTAAGGTCTGATGAAAGGAGGATTCATGAAATAACAAAAGTAATATTCTTTGTTTCAGTAGGTTAGTGTCGACTGGCAGCCTGAAAGCAAATAATGCAGGGAATTGAAATTGTCAAACTGTAACATGTTAAAGTCTGTGTTTCATTTTAAGGTGCAACAAAAGGAAGAAAAAAAGATGATGCCAAATCACTTCTCCAAGATTAACAAAATAGCTTACCAAAACAACATTCATAGTATATTAAAAAGATTACCAGCAAATAACTAATATTAGGACAAGTTCAACCAAAAATAAGAGATAGTTAATATATGTTTGGACAGAGGTAAATGTAGAACCTAGATATTACAATTAGTCTCGAACCAAGCAAACCAAACATCCTAGACCAAAGCATACTGATTAAAGCTCCAAAAGATCTCCAGAGGGAGAACACATTATAAGTGAAAATGCAACATGATAAGAGTTCATATTGAACCACCAAAACAATGTAAGAAAAATTTTGTGAAACATGTTGCATTGAAATAAAAAAAAAGGGTTCTTCTAAAGTAATTCAGAATCTGAACCTCTGAAGAATGCAAGTCCCTTTTACAAAGATACGTATAAATCAGCAAGCTTCCACAATGATAAATGATGCAAAGTTAGATAACTGAGACAATCTAAAGAGCATATTCAAACATGCAAAATGTCCTCGTATCAAAATCTGCTTCGATATAACTCAATTTGACAGCTCTTGACAAGACTGATACCTCAAGAACTCGCCAACCATTTGCAGCTGATGATAAGAACTACATCATGTTCTTACAAGACAGAAGCTCAAACAATTAAACAGGGCCTCCCTAGGATCAACCCTTCTGCTGCAACGGAATAGGCTGCTGACCTAATTAGGGCTACTAAGTTTTGAGGGTCTCTTACCTCATCAAAAGCCACCCACAGAGTGGCTCTTTGACCCTCTGCCATGACACGGTTCACCATCTCCAACGGAGAAGCATCAAGAGCCAATCCTTGATGAGGTCAGTTTTCGATTACCATATCTTGATCATGCTTCTATGACCATCAATACTACCTTCTCCGCCATCTTCAAGATTGTTTTCCACTGCTTTCTGGTGTTTCTACACTTGGAACATGAATTTTCCTTCTTTCCACCATCAATGCTGCAAAACCGCACACCATAAACGCCTTGGCCGACCACCTTTAGCACTGACGATTCGATCGCCTTTCCCCCATGTCTGCCCGCCCCAACTCTCCTGCTACTCGGCCTCTTTCCTTGGCCTACGCTGTGATTCCAGAAACCCCTTGTTCTTGATCTAACCCAGCTAGGATCATCAGCAAGTTCCGCGTCTCCGTCTTTCGCAGCAGGAAGCCACCGGACGCACGAGAATTGCTCGGTGAAATATCCCACCGATGAATGCCGCTTCTGCACCTCATGTACGAGCCGGACCACGTCTAAGGCCCAGCTTTCTGAGGCCCTCTCTGTTAAAAGGCTTAGTTTATGAAATATTAAATTATTAGGAATTATAATTCCCAATTTAAGCATGGAAATGCCGATTGTTGATTATGAGAACATGACAATATAAAATTACCAAATAGGGATTTTGAATTGTAATTCCACATTAAATTACAAATAATTTATAGAGAAATATTAAATTGCAACGTTAGAATTAAATAAATGATGACAAAATATCAAATCATTAAATAAATAAGAATAATAAATTAATGTAATATTTAATTAATGTTAAAAATATGAAATTATAAGAAGAAAATATTAATCAACAAGGAATTATTAGATTAAAAATATGAAATTAACAGCGAGTCATAAACGATTAGATAATATAAACTAACTACCGCATACTTTTCCACCTAATGAAGCCACGCAGGGCACAGTCAATGGGCTCCTGCAAGGAGGAGCTCAACGAGGACGTCCATGGCGTGATTCCGCAACTGGAAGGTTTCCAAGTGATGTGTCTTCGAAAGGAGTTCTCGAATCCCCTCCATTTATTCGTCAATGATCGAGTGACAGCAGCAAAAAGGAGAGCAAGAAAAAGAAGACATATGAGATGCCAACAACGCAGGGAAGGTTTGCAGAGATTCTGCTGTTCTTCCTTCTCTGAGGCGACTGCCTCGTCGTTTCCTCAGCTATCATATGCTACCGCAGCAGCGGACATGAATTAAGACGGAAGAAGTCCTCCTCCTCCTCCTCCTCCTCCTCCTCCATGGAAACCAGAGGACGTCGAGGTTGATATGGGTTTATTGAGCTCTTCTTATTAGACGCCGCCTTCAGGACTGTTCGAGTTCTCGATACTGAGAGTGAGAAGCTGCGAGGAGGGCGGCGCCGATGCCCGATCCGTCATTTGCTAGCTTGATGACGACAGAAGCTGCGGCCTCGGCTCCGAGCATCTCCTCGAAGGTGGCCTGCAAGCACTCGCGGAATATGGTGTAATGCTCGTAGAGTCCACCATCCATGGCGACGACCGTCCTTGGCACGCTCTCTCCGCCCTTCACCGCCGTGTCTCGCCCGACCTTCTTCAGGATGCCGGCTACACCAGCGGCGGCCAAGCGAGCGCCACGCCTGGCGACGATGTCGCAGATCTGGACCACCACTTTTCTTGCTTTGAGAGAGGTGTTGGGGATCTGGAATTGGAGCAGAAGCAGACAGTGCTCGAGGTTGAGAGGCATCAGACATCAACCATGTCAGTCAAGGATGAAGAGAAGAATCATACCCCCAAGAGGTCCTTCAGTTTGGCACCAACAACTTTAAGATCAGGTGATGTGTCGTGATGCATGGCTGACATGACTGGAGTCCTGCAAATCTCACATTGGATAGTTTGTGTTAGAATGAACACTGAGTTGCAATAATCTGGAAGAGAAACATAGATACATCCAATTCAAGCTCGAGAATAATGGTGTCAAGCTGCTGATCATCACAAATTCAACTAAGATCTTCTGTCCAGGAAGATCAATGAAATTTTCGAATGAATTCATGCTATATATTCATTGGACACCGAAACACTTGATATTTCAAAATCGGTGTATGAGAAACATAGCTTCGAGTTCTAGTTTTATCTTCCATTTCATTCACTCCCCAAGTCAGTTTAGGTTTTTTTTTTCTTCTATCATGTTGAAAGATTAAAAAAAGAAGGAAGAATAAATAATTTCAACTAGCAACTTAATATTCTCAAACAAAATATAAAAGTGCCACAATCTACAAGACAAGTTAGTAAGGGTTTTGTCGGTAAGAAGAGCAGTTTGATGTCTGCTATTGGAGGCTGGGAGATGAAAAAACAGAGGGCGACAGGATACCGAAATATGATAAATTGTAAGAAAGCCTCCACCGATATAATAATCATGAAAAAGAAATAAAATTACATAAATTAAGAAGAGTTAATATATTCCAAATTTTGAGTTCTACTGAGTGATTAATCCTTACAAATCAGGGCCCTGACGGCACCTTGTAATGAGATAGGCCTAGAATAGAACAAACCAATCTGGAGGAGTTGTTAATTTTTTAGAATATTCGATCACTCACTTAGTCCATATAATCCTTGAAGGAACTTGACACGATAATTTTTTTCGGTTCCAGCAACAAAATGTTGAGAATAATTACATGGTCAATCAATTGTAGTACATTAACCTCCAGAATAAATTAACCAGATCTATATGCAAAAAAAAATACTATTTCTGTGATAGCAATTTGAAACTTACCGTAGCATGAACGGAATTTCAAGTTTTGGAGGAACACTGTCTCCGAAAAGGGAAGCTTCCTTAGCCAGCCGCAAAAGGACTCGTCGTAAAATTTCTCCCAGGTACATTCCAGAGATCAACTTTTCAAAAATCTGTCATGACAAACTATTTGAATATATAGCATCCCCACAGATGTTCACGATGAAAAGACGTCTAGCCATGTATACATCACCTGTTCACTAGGGTTCAAACTCTCATTATCTAATGCTTGATCATAGTCTGTTAAAGGAAGATGGGATGACCTAAAGTTTCCCCACTCCATGTTGATAACCTAAATAACAATACAATTCACTAACAATTTATACGATGTCAACAAGCTTTGGCAACAGGCATAAACCAGGAAGTTGGAAAAAAAATATTAGAAATAAGAATAGGGTTTCTTACCATCTCTCCTGATTTTGGCAAGAGACCGTGCCACTTAGGTATTGCGTGGGCACGCTCTACATAGGCTGCATTTGTGCCGGTGCCCAATATCACGGCAGCAACTACATCATTATCATGATATCTCCCCCCAGCTAATGTTCCAACGGTATCATTAATCTACATCATAGATATATATGTCCATCTCATCCAGATAATTGAATCCATTAAAAAAATTATCATTAATTAACATTTATGGATAAAGTTATGTTTTGAACTGGAAGATGGGAAATGCGAAGAGGAGCATACCAAAGCTGATACTCGCATATCAAGACCTTGTCTTTCTATGGCCCTAGTCAATTCAGCCACCACATCTTCCCCAACCTGCCTTAAGCAACAACAAGCCATGAGGTCCCAAACTTCCTTTCACATAACATAAAATTCATATTCAAACTAACTACATGATAACCTGATGAACCATCAAAAGAAACGACCATGTCTGAATTGCTTGACATGCCATGGAGCATCAACATTTACTGGCAATTAGCATTTAAGTATAATTTTTTTCACATTAGCATGACCTTGTCTGAAGTTTTGCATTTAAGACATTTTAATACAAGAAAGAAGTCCTTAAAGAAATTTGACACTATAGGCATGCAAAGTAATTAGCTTCAAGAAAAAGAGATAAATGTGAAACCTAAATATGCATTGAAGGATGGGACTTGGTTAATAAGGGAGTTTCTTTTGCTATCAACACAATCTAGTAGTGTATTTACTATTACTTTTTTTGTCTTTACCAACTATTATTTTAAAATAAGTTAAGATTACACATAACCATAGACATTTGCAAAGCAACTACCTGACAGAAACCAAAATAAGAAGGAATTTTTGTTGTTGTCGTCACAATTATAGCCTAAAACATAGAAGACTAAGCATCGGTAGGGGGAAGAAAGCTTTTTTTTTCTCCCTAAAACTTACCTCAAAAATATAACAATAATTGTTCCATTATGTAACATCATATGCAAAAAACATAAACAACAAAACTACATCTATTTGTGACCGCTATGACAGCTTTGGAGAAAGCTAATCAGCACACAACAAAATCAAATATATCTTCTCAAGAGAAAAAAAAAGCTGAGAAATTACCGTCTCATCAATATTGAAACCTTTCGTCCATTTAATTAAGGTGCCTGATGCTATAGAGGTTTGTCTCACAGGAAAAGAAAAGGTAAATCCAATTTCCCTCTGCCTACCAACAGGAAGGTGAAAATCTTCACCTTCAGAAGCAACAAACTTTGCTAAAGCTGAAGCAATGAAATCAAAAAGTTCCTGAAAACAGAGAAATAATCACCTTAGATGCCCCACATACATAATATCAATAAAGAACATGACAGTCAATCATTTTACTTACATCTGAGCCTCCAACCATTAGAAGCGGTGGAATGGAGACCTCCTCAAATTCTTGCTTTAGTACATGCCTCTCCTTACCCCCCAGTTGCACACGTAGGACGCGGAAGTTGGTTCCGCCAAGGTCTAAAGCATAAAACAACCCTGTCTCCTCCCTGTGAAAGTAGTATTTGAGGAAATCAAAATGTTACTCTAGACCATAGATGAAAACTCAAAGTTGTATATCTAGTAATATACAGCAACAGGTCAAATTTCAATGCTGACCTCCATCCTTAAGGTGTGTGTTTTGTGTAGACTGATTGTCAAATGAAAATAACTTTTACATGTAACTATATAAACCGCAAATCTTAAAGTCCAAATGGCCATTCTGTTGTAATGCCTAATAGCCCATAGAACATAGTTCTCTTCCGACATACTTCAAAATTCCTAAGGCTATTTCTCAACCCTCGTGCAGGTTGAAATCAAGAAATCCGCCCCAATACAACCGGCAGTCAATCTGCCCCAAGTTACGATTGAGAGTCATCCTCCTGCATGCACAAACGTGGGGATGTCGAAGACGATCCATGCAGTAACAACAAAAACATCTTCAGAGGAAAAGAGATAATAAAATTCTCTTCAACCCTCTACCATGCCCGTCACAGGTCTAGTGAATATATGAGATATTAGAGCGAGAAAGCTCTAAGCTGGAAATGACTAAAGGGAATCTAAGTTTTTTCTACTTTAGGTTCCAACAATCCCCCACAAAAAACTCAATTTTTTTGTCAAACAAATACATAGTTAAAACAAATAAGGAAATAAGTGAAATGAGACAAGCAAGACAACAAATAAAATAAAAGTAAAAAAACTGAAATAAAAATTACTGGTTTTCAAAGACTTTAACCTTTTTTAGTAAGTAAGCATCCATCTGAAATGTTGTCACTAAGAATTATTTGCCTACACTTACATATACGGACAATAATATGTATACACATGTCAGAGCTCTAGATAGATACTGACTAAAATCTATATTGCTGAATCCCAGAATAAAGTTGAACTTTTTCCCCTCCAACACACTGCATGTGTTGCTCTAATGCAGTTACCATTTTAACGAAAATTCCTATGCCGACGCTTGTGCACACTTACACTGCATGTGTTGCTCTTAAGGCAGTTATTTTTCAAATCAAAATACATGACATGATTAACAATCAAAACATTTTATCGGCTTAAACTTACACTGCACTAATTTCCGAATGCCTCTAAAGCAAAGATAGAACCAATGTTTGGCCCAATAATCCTACTATTTATATTTCCAACAAAGAACAGGCTATAAAAAAATGCAAACACCTTGCTTGAGCCAAAGTCAACTGATGCAAACTAAAATGAGCTACGGAATGAAAAATTTTGAAAAACATTATCCTGCTATTCCAATAGCATCTTCCACTATGGGATCAATCACATATTGATCAAAGTCCAGCCTAGTCATTAATCTATCCCTACCTAAATCGCCCATGTCCTTGTCAGATCAGACGCACATCACATGTACAGATGCATGACCATGATCCTCTACAGGTGATGTGGGCTCCCAAGGCATCGCCCACCACCACAGAAGTTCCCTCGACAGCACAATCTATCACTCGAAAAAATATTATTAAAAATAAAAAAATAAAAATCTAATACAAAAATAATGTAATGAATACTTATTTTCATTTCACCGGGAGAAAGCAAGTGGGTTACACAAAGAATTCTAGTGGTCACAAAAGGTTCCAAGGAGCTCTTCAAGAAAAGGAAGACCATAGCAAAATAGATTAACAACAACACAGGATGGTTGCAAGATGAAGAAGAGATGTAAAGAAAAGAAAACTGTAATCAAAATCGAATCTTTCATAAAACAAGCGAGAAAAAGATTATACGAAGGAAGTACAGAATCTATTCTCAAACATAGTGAAATGAAGACCACCACCCCAACACCCAAAATTTGGTATAAATATAGATAAATTAAATCGAAAAAAATGGGACCAAATAACACGCCAAAAATTTCAACAATCCATTAAAAGGTGGAGCTGATCTCGCATCAAGAAAACCCCTACCCGGTCGGGAGGTTGTTGACGTAGCTGATTAGCATCTTTAGCTTGCTCCCGCCCTCGGAGGCGAGCCCGGCGTGCATCTCCACCGCCATCGCGTCCGCCACCTGTCGCAGCTTCCCAACGGGCGTGGCGCACCGCTCCTCAAGCTCCTTCAGCAGGGCGGCGACCCGCGCCCACCTACCGGAGCTCCGCATCCGGTACCGCACGACCAGCGCCGCCACCGCGCATGCCGCCGCGGCGCACACCACCGCCGTCGTCACCGCCGCCTTCCCCATGACCCCGCGAACGAGCTAGTAGGGCCCCAAGCCGATCCCCCGCCCTTCCCAATCGATCCAACAACCTAGGACTCCGAGCCCCGTCTTCCAAAATCCTTCTTTTGGGCGTCAAAAACGATCGAGATCACGAGACCAAGACAGGATTTTGAAGCGATCGGCAGCTGCCTTACCCTGGTTGGGATCGATTAAGGGGAGGCAAGGAGGGATCTTGGAGGCCGGCGCCAGACTCACATAGGATCAGCCATTTCTCCTGGAGGATGACGGAGAATATAGCGGGAGGAAGATAAAGCCGCATATTAACAGAGATTTATAGCTCGTTGTATTAGCATTCGTTGGGCGCATTAAAATACTCTTTTATCCCAAAATAAATAAATAAATAAATCCTCCAATTTTACCATAATGCCCTCAAATCAAGACACGTGCAATCTTAGCCGTCGATCAACCGGAAGGGAAATTAAATCACATGAAAGCATACGAGCAGTTGCATGTACTATCAGGACATTTATATGATACTCGTATTCATATTTGTTCACTCTACATTTTTAATGTTATGAACGACCGAGTTCCCAAACTTAGAACAAGAAAGATTGCAACATCTGTTTAAGCTCTATTATGTAATATAGTAGTTGTCATTTTCTTTAAACTCCTCTGAATAAATCCAAGTAACACTTTTCTATAAATTAAAACTAGCCACAATAATGTATTCGCAAAGACATCATTTTTTTATATAATCATTCAATTTAGCTAGTTCCTCGAAATCATCATAAAAATATTAAGATTATAAGGAGATAATACAAGGCTAATTTTTTTAATTTTTAATTTGATATAAAGTATTATATTAAGATGATACTAATTGCTTGGAGATGATGGTTGGGGGGGGGGCATTTTGGTCATAGAAATTTTGTGCAGTTGATCTGGCGGGATGGCAGTTGGCGCGTGGCCGCATAGCTTCGGTGGTGACTTTGACGGCGGGCGAAGCCAAGACGGTGGTCTTGGTCACGTGACTGGATATCGGTTCAAGAACTGAAGTCGCGCTTACAGGCACGTGACTCGGTCCACATAGCCAGCCAACACGTAGTTGGGAAAACCGCTGATGCCCCCCCTCTTTTTTTTCCTCTTTTTTTTAAATGCGAGAATAGGATTCTTATAACCATTATTTAATTATATATATATGCCATATCAGCACCACCTGTACACCTCGATGGCGCCTCATCATCACACACCTCATCCGCTACATCAATATCGATACTTCACAATCACCCTGTCATGAACAAATCAAATCGGTTTAGGTTTGATGTGTAAATGAAATCCAAACGACGAATGATAATGTTTGGAAGGACAAATATATCGTATTAAAATTTATAATAATTAATAAATTATCTTCAAAATACATAAGGATAGACATGTAGAAACATTTTGTTCCGTTATTAGTTGATTTCTAACAAGAGAAAATCATATTGATATAAACGAAAAGAATTAATATTTTATTATTTTTTTAATACCATAATTTACTTGTTGACCTCGTGGCTTTAGACATAATTGTATTTTATCTTATCATCCGTAAGTAACAAGGGGAAAAGTTAGGCTACACGCAAGAAGACCTCTTTTTGCGTGGGTGCTCAATGCATTAGGCCATGATTAGACCGAACCTTATCTTGATGCCCCACGACGTGTTCGACGAAACTACAGATATCCACTTGGGTCACGGATGAGGGATGGAGAGGGAGACCAGCACAAAAGTTGGTGTGTCCTCAACCCTGCAAGTGTCCGAAAGAGAACAAAGTGTGAGGCAAAGATGAGGGAGAAATGTTGGCAGCCGTTTGGGCCTCGGAAAGGATACGATTCCACAACGACGTGCATTGACATGGAAGAGAGACACGCGATGCGGCTGACGCCATGGAATGGGTAGGATTGCTCGACGCATCTTTTGCGGCGGATTGAGCCGTGCCAGACTCAAAGTTCGGCCCTTTCTTTATATTATTGTTTTCGGGCCACACAATCCATCGACAGGTTCGAGCACCGATATGGATTGAATTCACTTTGTCATACCTCTTTGTCGTCCTTGAGAATATTGGGAAAGGAGACTGCTGCAGAGAGAGATATATATGTTAGAGATTATATACTGATTCCTAACATAAACAATTTATCTTTATATCTGTTGGAGCAAAAATAAATAACATACGTTCTTCATCAAATTAAGTATGAGCGGAAAGATTCAAATAAAGTTTGGATATTCTCGGCCTTCAGAGTAATCTCAATCAAGAACACCATCCCAAGATACAAATTAAAATCAGCAAAAGAACAAGAGATTGAAATAAAGTCGCTTTGCTCCTAAATGATTGATTTGTAACATAAACAGATTAAGCTTAAATCAAAGATTTGGGGAATTTGAGACAACCCATAGATATCATTTATGGTAAAAGATGTGCAGTAACTTAAACCTCTCGATAGATGATGCCACTGTGAAAGCAACGAGTGATTGATGCAACTGGACTTTGCATAGATATCGCTGTCTAGAAGATTGGATGGAGCGGAGACTTACCTGACCGAGGTGAAGGTGAGATGTGCATGCGAAAAGAGACCCACCTGCACAAGTGTCTGCTGATGGCACAGGAAGTCACCTTTTGTGTGCAGACACCTCATGCATCTCAAACACAGAGCTACACCGAAAGCAGTGGGCCAGCCATTGTTTGAATTGGTTTTCAGTTTAAAGCATTGCTTGATTTGGACATTTTTGTTGTTGTTCCTGTTTGAACAGCAGAACAAAGAACTCAAAGTATGCTTTAATAGAACTAAGTTAGCCAATTAGGAATTATTTCCTGGGTAGCATGTGGTTTGGTGAAGTAGAACACAAGCAGAGTAGCTGCTTCAGGAGAGAAAGAAGGCTCACACAGATGTAAGATTGGCCAAGGAATTATTTACACAGCATCTCACTAGTAAATTATAGCAAGAGTGGAGAATGGCAAGTTACTATCATGTTTGAATTAAAAGATGTATAAACATATAAAAAAAAAAAACTTTTTATATTCTTACCATCATAACATTAAACTGACAAGGGTACTAGTGTCATTTATAATTTCAGTTCGTTATACCGTACCGTACCGTACCGACGTTTCGACCCGAGCTCGATACGATACGGTACCGGTGTACTAGATAGTACATCAGGGCGTACTGAACGGTACACCCTAGTGTACCAAACAATTTTTTATTTTTTAATACTGTAACAATACTACAATATAGTTCTATAACACTATAGCGGTACCGAACGATCTATGTACCGATAACCTGTCAGACCGGTACATACCGCCTAGTACGGGCGGTACGCTTCAGTATGACAGACCTTGATTTCAATATCTCTAACTTTTGCCATTTCTACACAACCTCCAATCTACCATTCCAAACAAGAAGGGTGAACTATTGATTCTTCATAATGCTAAGCTGATGAAACAGCTAGAGTTATAGTGAGTGGTCAATCATCTAAAGTAGGATTCACTTTGACAGAATATTTTCATCGTTACAAGCATCCCTAGAATATTCTGATCACACGATAGAAGCAACGTAGGAAAGAACTAGGACTGAAGGAAAACATTACTCATGATGCCAGATTTCTAATTATTCTGGCGCAATGGCGGCTTATTGGCTTCCCTGAAACCCCTTGCATCTTCTCTCCCCTGTGTACTAAGTTCTTCAGTTAAGGTGGTAAAACACAACACATTTGAAGCAAACCAAAGCACTCTCCTTTCAGGTGATGACAATAGTTTTCCATTATATTGAGCAATGCTTCAATCAGCAAGCTGTAACTAAACGAATGGAGTTGACAACAATAAACTTAAATGAACACTCCCCTTTCATTCCATACTGAATACAAAAAATGTACTGTACTTGATGGTAATGCATGCATGTTAAAACACTTACATAGTAATTTGATTAAATAATACCAGAAAAAAGATCTATGCTCAATGATAAGGCATGCATGAGGGAGCAAATACGCAAAAGCAAATACAGCAAAATTGGTTGCATGTTTTTGAAGGCAACTGACAGGTATTACCAGAAATTTTAAGCTAATATGTCTTTGCCGATGTGTACATACTGATGAAATAGCAACCCTTGAATTTTAAAGTATAAGCCAATTTGCTGTTATAAGAGGGGAGGATGAACATTCACCAACAAATGGATAAACAGAGGATGGAAAAACATCGATAGACGGATTAAATGCTGTAATAGATGCTAAAGGCACAAGAAAATTTTTCTTGAAATTAAGCAAAGACAGCAAAAAATAAGCTTCGGTCTAATGCAAAAAAATGAATCATGGATGTTAACCCTTGCTGGGACACCAACTATAGATAAGCATGTGTTTATCCTTCTTCCTTCTTCCGTATGTCAACACAAGAAACATCAAGATGTTCATGACAACTTAATAGATCACCAGAAGAAAATATTGATACCATGTAAAACACAAACATCACGACATGCAGTAGAGATAAAAAAAAAGTTCTACCCTATGTTTACTCGGGCCCTGAGTCATCTTTCCTAACATGCCACAGGAAAATGGCTTATGAATTTGCTATGAGGTGCCAGTGAAAAAATTCACATGTTCACAAACTAACCATGAGTATTAGCTGAGATGAAAAATGTTAAACTAGAGAAGACAAAAGAAGAAACCATAGAACTAATACAACAGGCAGTAAAGTGAACGAAAATGGGAGGAGAATCAGAAAATGAGCTTGACTAATTTTAGCGCGATGCCATGATCATTCTCGATTTTTCCTATGTGTTGGATGTTTGAAGATAGACGTATAGCATGTAAATTCCTGTTGTGACATGATTCTTGAAGCCAATTACTGCAATGGTGTCTGTGAGATCAAATAGTGGAGAATTACTGCAATAAAGGAAGGTTCGTGATGTTGCATATAGCTTGGGATAGTTAATCAGAAAGGAATCTTGTTGGACATTGCCTAGCCATTGGAATGTTATGGACATTCAGATCTAAATTAAAGGAG